TCCTCTGGTCTAGCCAGACTTGCAAGGTAGAATTGGGATCATGATAGTGGGGGTGGGGGGCATTTAGGAACTAGAGGAAAGTTGTATTTTTCATCCTTGTTACATTGCACCCTGACTGGCTCATCTCCTCCCTGAGATCCCTCTGGCAGAAAGAGTTTTAAAATGCCCATGGCTCCCAAGGATTCTGTGTACATATGTTCCCTCTCTGTTGTTTTGAAAAACAAACAAACAAAAACCCAGTTTCTGTGAAGTTGATCTTGACCGTGGCAACGCTAGGGGTGGCTGAGCAGCAGTGCGGTCCACACTAAGCTCTGCAGGGTTTGCAGCGACTGGCTGTTCAGTAGTGGACTGCGGTTTCCCCAAGATGCCTCTGTGTGGGCTTGAGCGCCAGCTTTACCCTGAGCAGCTGAGCTCATTCGCTGCTCTACCGAGAGACTATGAGTCGCTTTCAGGTGGGCTATCTCTCCTCCTCCCGGTCACTGTCCAGACCCAGATGGCTCTGGCTTAGAGACAGCCCCTTTCTTCTCAAAGCGCGCCTGTGGGGCGGGCCTGGAAACCCCTTCAAAGCTGTCTCTCCTCTTTGCCCTCCACCCTCAGCTGGCGCACCTCGGGAGGTACTGGTTTCACTCAGCTCCTGCTGGCTCTCCCACCCCATTCCTGACCCTGTTTTTCCAGACTCCCCTGCAAAGCAGTCCAACCAGACTGTGCCTATGAGCACAGAGGTCCCAGGGCCGGCCGGCCTAGGAGAGCAACAGCCTGAGCCAGGAGGACCACGATGGCGATTTGATCCAGGGGTCTGTCTGTCTGCGGAGGTGGGAATCTTAGGGAACAGTCTGTCCTCTCTGAGAGGAGCTATGCCCTCGTGAAACCAGGGAAATGGAAGGGACCCCTGAGATCTGCACGAGGAGCCCCGGGGCCGTATTGGGTGAGGGTTGGTTTGCTGAACTCAGAGTGGAGGGTTCAAACCCTCCAGCTGCTCTGCAGGAAACAGATGAAGCTATCGGCCACCACGCAGATTGATAGCTTCAAGAAGACGAGTCAGAAGCTCCTAGGAGGCGTGGGGTTTGGTTAGAGAGATACATGACTAGTTTGGACTAGGTCCGTCATCATGACTAACTCCACCCTGGTGTCCTACATACTCTGGCCTGGAAACGAACTACATCTAGACCAGTCCTGTTTCCCCCAGTCTCGGTGCTCATCACATCTTCAGTCCCCTTTCCCTTTCTGGATTCAGCCCTAACAGAGGTAGTGCCCAACCCCTTAAGTGGCCTAGCTACGATATAATTCTTGAACCAAGTTGAGCCCTGACTCTAGATCTTCCAAAATGTGGTGAACAAATCCTCTCCGGCTCAAGGCTGGCTTTATTAAAATGCAGACTCTCTCTTCTTTTATTTTGATAAAGCCAGACCATTCCAGGAGAAACATGGCACAAGAAAAGAAAGAAAAGTAACAGCTAACATTTACGGGTTCTCACTCTATGCCACGCATTTCACATGAAGTAATCGATTTACTGCTCACATCCGTCTGCGAGCTGGTCTACCATCCCATCTTACAGATGGACCCGTGGAAGTGGGATCCAGGGAAGCTGAACACTTCTCACAAGATCATGCAGCTCCTACGTGGGGACCAGTGTTTGGCACTAGGCCCTCTTTGAAAGCCTTTGTCTGTGGGGAAACTGTGGGTAATGTTTGGGAGTGTCTTCAGTCAGCAGAGGGCTGTGGGGAGGAGCAGAAACACAAAGATGGTGATGTAATTATTATTGATCAAGAGGGATGGATGGAGGGTGAATTGTTGATCTTTTATCTCAGCCACTTCACAATTTATGTAGGAGATGTTTTCTTTTTTTTTTTTTTCTTAATTCACTCACTGCCATTGAGTTGAGGCCAACTCATGGCAACCCTATGGAGCAGGGTAGAATTGCCCTGTGGGTTCCTGACATGGTCACTCTTTGGGGAGTAGAAAGCCTCATCTTTCTCCCGAGGAGTCACTGGTGGTTTCAAACCGCTGACCTCGTGGTGGGCATCCCAACTCCTGACCACTGTGCTCCTAGGACTGCCAAACTCATTTTCAAAAGGACTGGTTTTGTTGGGAAACCCCCCTTTGGTCAGTGTTAAAAAGTGGACATCTGCGCCTGGGGTACAGGCTTTCGGGGAGGCCCCAGGAAAGGGCAGAGCCTCTGGGCATGAGTCAACTCAAGAGGAACTTGTCTGATGCCCTAGTTTAAGGGAGGGCCGGAGGAGAACTAACGAGGGAGAAAGGAGGGAAGTGGAACGAGGCCTGGGGAGGCTCAGAAGGGCCTACGGGCTGGCGTGGAAGGGCCCAGCACAGGGCCTCTTGGCGTAGGGTGGTCCGAAAGGCCTGTAGATGAGAACATCAGCACGTCAAATGCGGATTTTAAAATGGCTTCTTCTTCTTCTTGTGTGTGATTCCCTCCTGTGACTTCTTCCTGCTTCCTGGGCAAGTTAGAAAAGTCTACTTACTCACGAATACTTTGTCTACGTGAGTGAGTGAGTGTGTGTGTGAATTGATGCAGGAGCTGTCAGCCTGTCTCAAAGGCTTGACGTCAAGTTGATTGCCATCATAGCTGCCCTGTGGGCCAAAGTAGACCCCTCCCCGGCCCCCGGCCCAGCCCCCTCCCCTGGGAGTTTCTGAGACGATAACTCTTTATGGGAGTAGAAAGCCTCATCTTTCTCCCTCGGAGCGACCGTTAGTTTCGAACTGCAGCCCTCCTGCAACATGTAAGCCAGCAGGGCTTCATGACCCCAGTGTATATCGACATAAGCTCAGCAGAGACCACGCAGCAGCAGGAGCCAGAGAGGCCCACAGGACACAAAGATCAAGGACTCGCTGAACTCTGGAGGTCAGCCTGTGGGTTTTCGCGGACTATGAATTAGGGAGCCGGTCC